AAGGAAAAAGTCTACATCTAATACGTCAAAGCAATCATGCCCCCGCCTGAACAGGCAGAAAATGGTTTCTTCCCTTGCCCAACTTCAACATTCTGGATTTTGAAAATCATTGATTTCTAGAAAGTTTTCTTACTCTGAACTCCAGAGGGTCTTCCAAATTTTCCGTGAAGTATTGGTATCATACTTCGATGATAAGAAGTCTCAAATCAAATCTGGGTTCTTAAAAGAAATACTTAAAAGGCGACCATGGATTGGCCATAATTTGTTTAGCTACCTTGTTGAGAATGCGGAAGTGCCAAGTTTGATTTTCGTCGAGTTGATGCGCTTGATTTGATAATAGAAATATTGAAGTCATTGTCAGCAGCTAGTAAGATGGTGACCAGAATGCCTCAAAAAAGATTCTCAAGAATAGTATTGATAAACTCTCTCATCTAGTGCAAGAGTTAGTGGCAAACATGCCAAGTAAACAGGGAAGGCGGGCGGCAGAAGTGAGGAAGTTTTTGTGTGAAGGTCCTTGAGACCTTGTCTGCATTTAACCTAACTAAGCCTTTTATCAAAAACTTGGCCCCTGAAGCTCATGCTATGCTTGAGTCACAACTAGGCGAGCAGTTCACTAATTTTAAGAAGCTGGAAAAGTAAGCAGTGGATCATGATATGGTTACAGCCTCATTACAGGTGTCTTTGCTACATTCAAAAATAGTTGGAAATGCAGCCATTAATGTCTATGCTGCAGGCACCACAATGGTGGCATTGGTGCTCACAAATGGTCCTGGTTTGGCCAATTGTTTGATGGACGGTTGGATAAGTGCTACCTCATAATATAATTTGCCTTCGGGGGAATTTCTTCATTGTGAAACTCGAGCATTATTTTGTTCTAATTTTATTGTTTTTGTTATACATGTTAGTGGAAAGGTAAAAGTTTTGGCAGGTGTTAGCATGAAATGTTAAAGTTTGTTACTTTGTTAGTTAGAAGATAAACCTCTGGTACATCAAATTTCATAGCTCATGTCTTTTTTATGTAGTTTTATATAATATGAAATTATCTTTTTGGGTAATGAATGAAAAATGTGGGATTTTCCCCTATCTTTTAGGACCTCTTGTCATTGCGGGTTTCGTTGTAAGTGTCATCTTCCTAGTGAGATTCTAGAACATTCAAATTGAGGCTCTTTCATTTTAGTCAGGGTTAATAAGAGCCTGTTTTCAGATTTGCAGAAGCCTTCACGATTCTCACACCTTGCGATCTGTGTTTGAAGATAGCCCTTGGTACTGGTGTTGGGAATTTATGAGTAAAGCTTCATCCTATATTAACCTATACTTGACTACAATATTAGAACATCTATTCTAAGATATTACAACTTGATTTTAATCTGGAGCTGTACTCAATTCAGGGTTACTTTCACATGCATTTTTGGATTTTAAAATTATGCCCTTTTATTTTGGGTTAACAATTCTGTTTTTATATTCTTGTATTGGTAGATTCGTTTATCTGATTTAGTTGACCATGAATGAAGGCCCCTTGTTGAAATCATCATACGAGTGGTGGTGCTCCTCTGCTGCTTAGCCCATGCCGGGTATCAAATGGAATATTGAACCTAAAATAATGATTGTGTAAAGAAAAAATGTAAGTCCACAGATGTTACAACTTAACTGGACAACCTAGAAGTAACCAAGCATCAGGTAAATTTAAATCCGATTTTATATTTCTCATCTCATCAAAGTGGTCAGAAAGATGTACAGGGCCGTTAACGATCCCACATAACCCAAGTTTATATTAGTTAAGGATCCAGTCTCTGAACTACAACCATGCCAAGAACTGGAAGACTTGGGGCAACAGAGTCTCATAATTAGATCTCTTAACGTCCTCTGACAAAGTAGCAAAACACGGTAGTTATGGCAGGGAACAAGGTGTTCTCAATGAGATAATGAGGGAATAGAGAGGATGGGATGTTGTCTACTTTGGGGTAGAGATTTTGGGAGCATGGACGACCAAATGGTGAGTGAGAGTGGGGAACCAGACAAGACAGACAGCATATATGCATGATGATTCAGTCAAGTCAATGAATCATGGTTGAGTTTGTGAAAATTGATCCAATATTTAATGTTCCACCCAACCTGTACTTATACGGTTGGCTTAGGTGACATATACGTATTGAAATTTAATTCATGGGATTTTTTCTTGCTGGATCTTTTCTTTCTTCATAAAGTCGGGTGCTGCATCAAGCTATACATACAAAAAAAAATGGAAAATTAAACCCTTATATCCAATTAATTAATTGATACCAACAACTCTGATTTTGCAGATCCGCAAAAAGGATCTTCCCCAGTAAAGATGATCCACCATCTATTCACCGTAGGTAATGTGTACAAGTAACTCAAAAGGCACCAATTCTGTTCATTCTATTCCTAGGTTCTGAAGCAACTATCCTAATTTTCACCACTTATCATTCTACTTTTTCTGATCTACACATTGGTTGTTTTTATCTCCTCCAACTATCCTGTTTCCCGGCGCCAATTTTTACACTTAGGTCAAACCACAACCCCTCAGCAGGAACTCAGCAAGACAATCCAATCAGCAACTACCAAATAGAAATCTTCAAACAATACCCAAAGCCCCTGAAAATCAAGAGTGCATTTCATATTGCATCAGCCCGTTACGATACCAGCATCAAGGAAAGCCAATGGAGGGAAACCATCCTTCATCCGCCAACCCACATTCATCTCATCTTGATCATCATTTGTCTTAAGAGCCCTGCTGCTACAAGTGGCCGTTGTCTGCTTCAGAATCACTCCCGGAAGAACTCCCTGAATCAGAATCTGCGAATAAATGACATTTCTAAGTCTTTTTTGGTCGAACAGAAGATGAAAACAACAGACCAGAGTTCACAATGAACGAGCTTAATACCGCTTGATGAAGAGGAATCACTACTCGAACTGCTGGAGCTACTAGAACTACTAGCTGCGTGACCTCCAATGACATCTTTATCTTTCTCAATCTCCACTGGGGGGAAAATACTCATGGGCATCTCATCTCCAATGTCCACATCCTCGTCTCCAGCTTCCATTTTCTTTAGCTTCTTGATCTCCGCTGGCGCAGAATCGACCTTTTCACTCGAAGGCAAATCCTGTTATACAATGGTAAAGAATTAAAATCAGTCATTTGCCAAAATCCTACTCCATCAGACATAAATGTGAAGGGAAAAAATACAGGACTTACCCCATTGCCTTTGCTTGACGCTGTATTATTGTTGGCCATGAGTGCCTGTCGCTTAATCTTGCTCACTCTTTTTCCAATTAGTAACTAATCTGTCAAGTTCCCAAAGGTCTCGGTGTCAACAGCCTCAATATCAAGCTCGATCTCATCCCCATCCTGCTTCAAATGTCCATTCCTTTTCCTTATAATTTGAACCACTTGCTCCATTTTCTCTGGTGGCAAACTCTGCAACCCAATCCCCAACTTGTGCTTCTCCTCAAGACTCATGTCCCTCTTATTTGGGTCCTTTGCCTTTGGCTTCGGTTGCTTCAAAGGCTTCACCGGAGGTGCCCGCATTGGAGATGGAGTACGCACCGGAGACTGCAGCAATGGTGGGTTTGAAGAACTTGCAGGTGCCGGCACGGGGTCTGGCTGGTTTACTGGAGGAATCATATTCTCCTTCTTCTTTACCCTTTCTGGCTCGACTTGATTCCACGAGCTTGCTGGCAATTCTTCATCAAAGATATGATCTTCTCGAAGAAAATCTTCAAACTTCTCGTGCAGAGGCCGGTACAGTTCCTCAAACCTTGCCAGAAGCTGTTCCGCCATGACGTACACATCATGACCCTTAGGATTATAAGTCAATGCGTTGTTGAAAGTCAATCGCACATCAGATGCAAAATCCGCTGGCGTCTCATACGCATTCTTCGCAAGATTGGACTTCACAGTGCCTAGATCCATCGGCCGCTTAATTATATCATAGTAATCGTGAAGACCCATACCCACAACATCGACCGGAACATTGAAAATCCACCCGTGCTTGTGTTTCATCAGCTTTTGCAAAACCTGCCCACAAGCCCTGATCAAATTTCCAATATCCGAATGAGACCGTTTCAAATCCTTACCGGGATTCAACGGCAAGGGTCGCTTGTTACCAGACATCTTCTTGCTTGCCGATTTCTTCGACGGCCCATTGAAGGTAGGTCTAGGTTGAAATTCGCCGGACTCGATGCGACTTTTCAGTTGCCGAATCTGTTCGAGCTCCGAGATTAGACGGTTCTTGAGCTCGCTGAGCTCCTTCTTCGTAGACGAGGCGATATTGAAGGTCACGAATTGGGAATGATTGGAATCGTTCGAACGCCAATTGATAGAAGAAGCATCATCTGACGCCGATTGGGTCTTCTTGTTCCCGATTTTATGCTTAGGGTTAGGGTTAGAGAATGGTACTTTTCCCATGAGTCCGGCTCCACCGCCTTTGTGCTGCGGCCAATTGGGTTCGTTCCGGTTGGCTAGGACGGCGGATGCCATGGACGAGCAAAAATCACGGTAATCCTTCACGATTCCGGCGTTTCTCCGGCATCAATTCCCCAATGCAGGTTGTACGAAACATGAATCAGCAGTACCCTCGATTACACGCGCCGCTTCCCCAAAAACGCGCCAGAAGAAAATTACACGCGCCGCCGATCAATCCTCAGATTCCCGATCGAAGAGAGAACGTCGAACATAGGGTTCAAATTTCGTTTTACCCTAATTTGTGAGCGAGGAACTAGAGGGGGCTAGGGCCGGTTCTTAAAGGCAATGCGATCTGCCCGCTGGCATTTCGGGCAGCTCAATCTGCCGTCTATTTATTTTCATTCTTGATCTAACGGGTCGTAATGATTTCTCTGATGTCGTAGGAACTGACCGTAAGATCTGGCACGAACGGTGTGGATAGTGATCCCCAGCCATGTGGAATTCTCTCAACCGTCAGATTTCAGGATGATGATAGATGAGGTGGTCATTCGATTTGGGTTTTTGAAGTAAATTTGGGCTAAAGGTGACGTGTCATGAATAAATTAGACAAGCCTTTTTAAGAATCGGACTGAATAAATATATTTGATTTATTACCTATTTAAATAAAATTATAAATATAAATATAAATTCCTTTTAATATAATAAAAAATATCGAATTTGATGCTTATCTTTTATATCTTTTTTTTGTTTTATATCCTATATCTTAATCACAAGATTTTATTTTATAAATAAATTCAAAACATAAGTTTTAATTGAATTGTTCGATATTATTATTTTTATTCTTAAATTTGAAAACAGAATAAAAATTTATTCTCGTTTAAAAATACCATTTAATTTAAATAAAAATACTAACATAGAATTACATTTCTAAACCAGAATTAAATTGCTGGTAAAAAAAAGCAGAATTAAATTATTTTATTAATAATAATTCTAACCATCATTTCATATCAAAAAGAAAATTTAAATATTTGTAAATTTTTTTAATCTCTAAATTCATCCATCAACAAGAACCTCAGATCTAATAGTGTTGGAAACCTTCCGTAAAAACCTCACATTTGATTAATACCAGATTTATTTTTAATTAAAAATTAACAGAATTGTAATAAACAACATGTATTTTTTTTTTTTTGGCCAATCTATTTGATTTACCCTTTAGACTTCACTAGCCGCGTGCACCCTCTGCCACGGAGTGTTGGGATACCGTCAAATGAGGGGGGGAAATTTTTTTTTTTTTACAGAAAACAATGTTAAAAGATTAAAAATTTATGAAAATTAAAAGATCATACTAAACATTAATGTGAATATATCAGTTTAAATAATACTTTGCCTTGTATATCAAATCAATCAAATATAAATGAAATTATTTAATTTAAAAAATAAAATCTATATTTTCCTTAAAAAATAAAATCAATATATCTATATATTTTATTATAAAATTGATATATTGTTATATTATTATATAAATAATGAATACCACATCCCAACCAATCTCAAATTACATACATAATACAAACCAAGCCAACATTTTACTTTATTTATTTACTGCATGCCAGTTGAAATTTGAAAATCATATTTTTTCAACAAAATATTTTTTTAAAATCATATTAATTAATTAAATGTGGATAAAGGCGAATATGTATAATTGTAAATGTTCCTTTCCGAAGAGAACGTAATCAGAGACATCAGAAGCCCAACGCATGATGAACAGTAAACGCGTGGATATCACCCCGATCGATGCAAGGGTAATTTCGTAAATGAATAAATACAACCGCGTGTGCATAAATTTTCTTAAGATAAATATACTAATAATTGTTTTAGCTTTATCTGAATTACGCTGATGCTTCTGTTTTTTTCAAAAAAAAAATCTACCCTAACCATCGTTTTCTTTGGACCTGAAAGCTATCATTATTTTTTAATTAAATTAAATTAAATTAAATGTCTACTTAGTATGGATCCTTCAAAATTAGACTTAATTATAAAGATTACTGAAATACAGAAAAGGTGACAAAAATTACCAATAAATGTTAAGTTTGGTGTGAGGTGATGATTATAATAACTATTTTTTATTTTTTTTATGGAAGTAAGTCAAAAATCTACTTTTAACAATGTCTTATAATTTAAATTAGAGGGAACGTAAAAGACAACTAAATTGAGGTCTTAGAGTCTATTTGGTTTTTATTTTATTTTTTATTTTTAAAAAATATTTTATAATACAATTTTTTAAATTATTTTTCAAATAAAATAAAATAAAAATTCATTTAGTTATGTCAATTAAAAATATTTTTTAAATTAAAAATGAACTAATAATAATAATTATATGTAGTTAATGGTGGTGATTAATAATAAAAATTTATCAAAGTACTTACAATTTTAATAAGCAAATGTAATATTTTAAAAATAAACAAAAATAACTTGAGGTTGTTACTATTTTTATTTTTTAAAAATAAAAAATAAAAATAATTTTAAAAAATAAAAAACAAACAGCACTTTATATTTTAAATAGAAAAAAAAAATGCTACCATCATGTTTTGGTTTTGCATGCTACCTAGAGAATGAGCCGACTCGAATTAACGTGCACAGAAATAGATAAATCGCACGTGGAATGCAAAGATAAATAAATTTACTGTATTTAAATTTAAAGTTAGAATGTAAAATCGAGCCCGCTTGTACACTTTTTTACAATTGTAAACCAAGTTCAATCTCCACTCCTTTTTATGCTATTGAAACCAAACAAGTTAGTTGAAAAGTTAGTTAATTATTTTTTAAATTTATATTTGTATATTTTTCATCGTTTAATAGAATAAAAAATAAATAATTAAATGGCTTATTTGTTAAAAATATTTTAAAAAAAAAAATATCTTATATATTTAAACATTTAACCTTTGAAAAAAGGTTTTATAGTATAAATTTGCTTTAAAAGTTTTATTTTGATTGGCACAATTTTACTCAAAAGAATTTAAAATGGTGTAATGTAACCCTATATTGACGTTTAACCGATGTTTATCATTAGTTAAAAGTTTTTGACTAGGCTAGAGAGTAGTTTTTTCATGGAAGTTTGTCTAAATAATTAATTTGTATTCTAAACTTTTAATTAGCACAATATTTTTGGATTTTTAACTTTTAAATCAAAAGAAGAATCTAGCAAATTGTTATAACCCAAAATCATAAGAAGATATTGAGTTGAATTATATTGAACACTTCAAAATTAAAATCCAAACTAGTCTATGGTTCCCACAAGAAGGTCTAAATAATGAAATTTATATTTGCTTATGGTTAAATGAATATCCACTCAAGGACACAAGTTTGGACTTGCTTATAAGCAAAATATAAGCAAGTCTGAACTTTACTTGAAGGATGTTGGGTGCTTATGTAGAGTTAATTTTGCATTTGAGTAATACTGAGTGAAGATTTTTGTTAAAATTTATAAGTACAAACCATTTTTTGATATTAATGATGGGTCATTAGATTTTTCTTATACTTTAAATATTGACAGATCAAAAAATATTATGTTAATCAAAAATTTAAAATACCAAACACTCTTTCCAAAAAAAAACTCCTAGGGCAAAATTGCTGTTTAACTTGATCAAAATTTTTCAAGCAATGATCAACACTTATCAAATATTATTATAGAGCAAAATTGCACCACTTTTTTAAACTTCTAGAATAATATTGCGCTAATAGAAAAAAGTTAAGGATATGAATTGTACCTCAAAAAATATTCCTGAAAAAAATTTGCCCTTTTAACTCTACTTTTTTAATGGAAAGAGTTTTTAACCAAGAGTAACATTAAAAAATTTATGTTGAAATTATTAAATATATAAAGGGAGAATTTCAAATAAGGACAGTTATACTTAATTATTAGTGAGTTCAAAAAAATTTAAAACTTCAATTCAATCCAGGGAGTAAAAGTGAAAATAAGTTTAAGTGTAAAAAAACTTAAGTACCCTTCACTTTTTTATGCAAAATCATTCATTGTAAATTTCTCACTTCACTTGTTAATTTACCAATATGAGTTATGAATTACATAAGTTGACATGTTAATAATTATATAAGATTTAACATCAATTATTTAATTATAAACAACAACATCAATTGTTAAATTGATAACTTTACTTGTTAATTTACTGACATCATAAATTACTAATATGTCTTGTCATTTGTAAATGATGTTAGTAAATTAATAAGTAAAATTAGCAAATTAATAACTAATATTACTGCTTGTCTTACAAACGGATGTAATTCATAAATAATATTGATAAATTAATAAGTAAAGTAAGAAAATTAACAACTAGTGATTCTGTATAATAAGTAAAAGGTAATCTAGTATTTTTACAGTTAAAATTATTTTTACTTTTATTCTCTAGATTGAATTAAAATTTAAATTTTTTTGAAACCCACTAGTAATAAATTAGAACTCTAATCCTCATTTACAATTCTCTCATATATAAAACAGATCAAAAATTATTACATAACTATGATAATTAATAAACCCTGTACAAACATTTATCTCACCGTTCTCTCTCTCTCTCTCTCTCTCTCTCTCTCTCTCTCACCTCTTTTCGTTATGATACTAGGCTTTTGGATATTACTTGCACTCATTATAGTCATCATTCATGCATCTGGACTATAATTCAAGCTTTAAGAGAAAAGTATGCCCTGTTTGGGCCTGCATTTGAAGATAATGAGATTAAGACAGGGACTGAAATAAGAAATAAATTTTAAAAATGTTTGACATGTTGGGGGAATCAAAAGAAAAACAAGATTGAGATTAAACAAAAACTTATTAAAAGACACAATTGCACCGTTCTTTTTCCAAGTCTAAAATGAGATATGGAGGGAGAATACAAATGAAATATTCCTCATGTTTGAAGAAGCAAATGAAATATTTTGATTCAAACTCAAGTGCAATCACATATTTGAAGATAAGGAAGAGATATCTCTTTCATTTTATGCACTCAGTCGCGGTTGCTAAAATTACAAACTCAAATATGAAACATGATAAAGAGAGGACATTAAGCATGGGATCTTAAAAATAAAGTTAAATATGGGATCTCAAGAACAAGGTCAGACAGGGATCCCATTGATAATGGAGTGAATTCTTAAAGCACGTTAATGGTGGGAATGAGAAGATAGTGATTAGAGATGAAGAATGTGATTTCAGACGAAGAAGGTGAGAAAATTGGTTTGACGATGGAGAGCATTTTGGTTTGTAAAATTTCAATCTTAAAAATAAAATTTCATTATCATCTTCTTACATGAATTTCATTGATCATCGATCACAAATCACAAATAATCTATCTTATCAAACATCTCAAGATATGTTTTCTCAATCCTAATTCCAATGCAAACTCTCCCAATACCTCAAACCAAAGAGGACTATAGTGTAGGATGCTTAATTAATTAAACTAAACTAAAGTACTAAACAATCTTTTATCCACCCAAAATAATAATAATAATAATAATAATAATAATAATAATAAAAGATCTTGTGTTTTTGAGAAGTAAGCTTGAGAGAAGATGGTAACAATACTAGTTAGTGAAAGCAGAGGACTAGGGGAAGTCAATATCAGGATGTTTATGGTGACTTTTTGGACCTGAAATGCAACAACAATGATTATGATTTTTATATAAAATAAAATATAACATACAGCTTGAATAACACGGCGATTGAACGAAAATTTAAATTAATGAATAAATAACAGATTCTTTTGAAAAAATTTAATAAAAATTCCTCGATCGTACTAATTTAAATTTAAAATTTTTAAAAAAATGAATAAATAAAGTAGGATAATTAACAATTAAAATATAATAATTTTGATATTAATTTAAATAAAAGATAATTTTATTATTTTTTAAAAAAATTAATATTCCTAAACTATAATAAAATTTTAAAATTTTAAGAACTTTAAATTTAAATAAATATGATTAAGATATCTTTATTAAAATTCTCTCGAATTTTTCCAAAGCGTGAAATCGAAGTGTCTTGTTTTTACTTGTGAGTCTTCTTGTCCCTAAGATGGAATCTATGTCAGTTGTCAATTTAACTTTTTAGTTTGTCAGATGTAATCTATTTTTTAATGGACAGATTTATTCTATTTCATGATGATAAATGTTCCTTTATCCCCCCCCCCAAAAAAAAATTCTAACAAATAACTTTTCTGGTTAAAAAAAAAACAAACAAATAACTTTTAAAATTTTAAGTTCCATATAAATAACCAGGCGAATTTCAAGCCCCAATACATTATTACTTCATAAATTATTTCACTAGATATTAATTGATGTTGATTTATTCTATTAATGCCTAAATTTTAAATTTAGGTAAATCCACGTATATTGCATGGAAGTTGTAAAATCATTTATAATTTATTACAAATTTCATTTCCTATATGTTGATATTGATTCAATTAAACAATACTAATTAATTACGTTATATTCATACTAATGATATGGATGGCATATTGATATTCATGTTGATTGTTTTCGTTTTTGATGGTCGTGTATATTGGTTGATTCTTAATAATAAGTAATCATTATTTTAATAATAAGGAATATTATATTAATGATACTAAAATTTTGAATTTTTTGGTCACATTATTATAGTTTTTAGATTTAAGGTATGAGCCCCCAAAAAAGAAAACCCAAACTTATGAATATACCCGAATAAATTGATAGACTAGTTAATCATCAATCAATATGAATTCTAAAACCAAAAAAGAAAAAAAGAAAAAGAGGAAAGTAATTTTTAAAAGAATAAAAAAGTAAATTGACCTCTAAGCTATAGATTTAGAAGTATTTAAGATCATTAATTTATTTTTTATGCAATATTTTTCTTTAACTTTTGAAAATAGTGTAATTTATCCCTTATCGTTAATTTTAACATTTGGTTGAATAAAAAATGACAAAAAGTACAGTAAAAGATTCAAAAATTATAGATAAGATCCCAAAAAATAACTCAGAAAATTTTATTGATCTTGTTTTGTCTTTTATAATTTTTTATTAAATAATGATCAAAATTAATTTTTATTAATGATAAATGTAGATTGCATATTTTTAAAAATTAAAATAAAATATTTTAAAAAAAAACTGAGTTTAAAGTGTTTGATGTTTCTAAATCTATAATATTTGTACAGTGGGGTTGTGTGTTACTTTGAAGCTGCCTGGTGGGGGGGGCAACAAGAAGGCAGAACTTTTGGTTCATTGTGGGTGAGTGACTCTACATTTCCTCGAAACCAAAGCTGAAGTGTCACATGTTGAGTTTTCTAATTTCTTTGCCCCTCGTCCACCTGGACGATGACTCGCCACATGTTTATTGAGAGAGAGAGAGAGAGAGCTAACAGCCTAACATAAAATTAATTAGTTTTCTAATTAAATCATTGTAAATTTATAAATTTTAATTATTCCTTCCATTTAAAAATATAAAATATTTTTAAAGAGTTCAATGTTAAAAAATATAAGATATTTTAATTTTTTTGAGGATAATTATTTTTTTTCAAAAGTATCCATATTAATAATAACTTTATATTTATTGTAGGGTTTTAATAAGAGTGAATATAAAAATATAAAATTAATTTAAAAATAAGTAAATACTTTATTAAGGATGAGGTTTAATTAAAAATACTATATATTTTTTAATAGAAGGAGTACAAATTATGCATGAAGTTTCAAACTACTCCCTTGTTCATTTTTTAAGAGTTATTTTCTATGTAAAAAATTATAAAATATTTTTAAAAATTAAATATTAAAAAATATAAAATATTTTTAGTATTTTAAATGTAACTAATATTTTTTTTTCAAAAGTGTCCATAATAAATAAATTATTTTATATTTATTTTAAAATAAAATATCTTATTAAATAAAGATAAATATGTAAAAATAATGTTAGTTTTAAAATAATTAACTACTTTATTAAAATAAAATTTTATTAAAAATACTTTATATTTTTAAAGAAAAAGAGTAACATATTTAAAAGTACAAGACATTTTGATGTCTTCTACCACAAGTTTTTTTTCTCCAAAAATACTTTAAAAATGTTTTAAGTTAATAAGATTTTTATATTTATTTATGATTTTTGTTGCCTGAAATATTTATTCATGATTAGGTTATCTGTTAAATGAAAGTAGACATTAAAATAATTTTTAATGAAAAAAGGGAGGCATGAAAAAAATAGATAATTTTTAATGATGTTAATTATTTTTTGGAAGTGGAAAACTCTTGAGGTTGAGATTTTTTTTAATAATTTTTTAAATTAATATTTAAAAATTGACTGCCCTTCAATTTATATTTTGAACTAGCTCTCATTTTCCTTTTACAATCCCAGAAGTTCAGATCTGCATCTGTGCATTCATTATTCAAGTTTTCAATGTAGCCGCAGACACAGAACAGTTTTGCCTTTCTCAGAAGTCAGAAGTAAGAAACCTTCCTTTGCACAGGTCTCGTACGATCAAGAGGCGTCTCGTGTCAATTTGCCTTCTTAACTTCCTGTCTTTGTGCCGTGCCAAGAAAGGAAACTGGGGCAAGAAGAGCTTGTAAATCAGCTTTAAGACTCGAGGCTCTCAAAATCCAAGGAAGCAGTGTGTTCCCAGAATTTCACATGGAGTTAAAGCTCCGGAAAGGTAGAATATATATTATATATATAGAAATACAAGTAGTTATGGAACCATTCAAATCGCAAGAGATGTGTACTGGTTTCCGCCCAAAAAATCTTGACCCACTTGATATTAATTAATGGATGAGAAAAGAAATACTGAAATAGACTGGTTGATGGAAATTGAATGAATGTGTGTGTGTGTGTGTGTGTGTCATTTTTGACTGTCAGGTGAGTTCATATCTTCATAAGCAAGGCCCCATCCATCTAGTGATCCCAGAAACTCCAATTGCTGTCTCGGATTCACAAACGCATCTCCTCCAAGACGCATAAGTCATCCATCTTCGTGTCCAACACATCTCTCTGATCATTCTCATTCCTAAGGTCTCAAGAGACGGTTCTGAAAATTTTTCAGGAAACATTATTACTCTTTGCTGATCTACCACCAGGTTTCATTTACATTCCTGTCAAATCTCAAACTCAACCAGGTACTGAGTGCACAATATCCAATAGCAGCTACCACCAAATTGAAATCCATAGTCAATATCTACAGCACCTAAAATTTACAATCAACAATTTTATTTGGTTTCTTCACCGCAGTTATCGCCGAATCCACCTTCTCATCCATTTTAGTTTGACAGAAAATAATAACACTTACAACATCGTCACTATCTTTATCCAGTATAGTGACCAGCCTGTTAAGTTCCGAGAGGATTCCGCGTTAACGGCCTCAATAGCAAGCTCGATCTCATCCAGATCCTGATCCAGGCATCCATTTCTCTGCCTCATAATCAGAACCTTGTTCTTGTTCTCCTCAAGACTCATTCCCTCTTATTCGCCCCCTATACACTAGATCTGATAATTTGCCGTGAGGCGCCAGATTGTCCTTCTTCCTGAAACCTCTAGAGAAGCTGATCGGTCATGACGTGTACACTAAGGCGTTGTTAAGATCGCCAATCGAAGGAGAGAACGTTTTGAGTACAGCCATGGCACATAGTGTCTGGGACTTTTCGATTTACCCTAACGGAAGGGAACGAGGAACCGAACCAAATGAGCAGAGCCGATAGGGTTAGGCCGGTTCTTAAAAGGCGACAAGATCTGCCCGTACGGCACTTCGGGCAGCTCCGTATGCCGTCGAATTCTTTTAATTCTAGATCCAACGGCTAGTAATGTTTTCTCCGTTGTCTGGATTTTGGTGGGATCTGACCGAGAGGTCCAGTCACGAACGGCTTAGGTCGTGACGTAATTCCATGTCACATTGTAAACCCTTTGATGCTGATGTGATGATGGGTGAGGTCTGGTCGTCTCCTACTCTCTTTATTTGGGTTTGAGTTTGATGTGAATTTGAGGTGAATTTGTCGTGTATTTAGGGTTTTCAGATATGTGGGGCCAATAGTGATGACGTGGAGTGAGGCCCGTCCACCTTCCGACGTGGTTGTACGCGCAGCGCGTGGAGACAAGTAAAACGCGTACTTGAAACCTAGGTCGATGGAAGGGCAATTTAGTAAATGAACTATCCATGACCGAGCGAAGAACGGGCCCCTCGTCTCTAATTTCTTTTTTTTTTTTTTTTGGGCAGCAAGCCGCTCCGCGCACTCTGAACTTAATTACTCTAAAGTTTAATAAGTTTAAATTCATTCAAGGAAAAATACTATTTTTGTTCCTGCATCTTGCTCAAATTTTGACATAAATTCTTGTATTTTTTTACAAGTTTTTCCTATTTGCAATGTTTTTTTTTTTACCAATCCTATTTACAATGTTGGTCCATACATTTTTAAATGGACGTTGGCATGACATTAACAATATTAATAATGCTAACATGTTAATTAATATTTTTAATTTTGTGCTAATACGGAATTTTTAACAAGGAACAATTAAAAAAAACTGCATGGAATTTGGGAATTTTTCTTACCATTTAAAAGTTCAGATTTACCTTTTTATTTTATTTGATGTAACTTTTTTAATTTTTGCTATTTAAAAAAATTCTATGTCAGCATGAGTTAGACTCATAAGCACAAAATTAATATGTCAACATTATTAATATTGTTTGTATCACGTAAATATTCTTTTGAAAATGTGATGTGTCCATCGCAGAATTTGATGAACTGTTGATAAATAACAAATAATTTGTCGTTTTAATATTTTATATCTAATATATATATATATATATATATGGGGTAGCATTTGGATGGCTAAATTTATATTCAAAATCTTACAATTAAAATATCAAATTTAAAATTCATATACTTAAAATATTTTATTTAAATAGTGTAAAATTTAAAATTTAAAGAGAATGAAAAGAGAGATATGGGAAGAGAATGAGAGAGCTAGTACGACTGACATTTCAAAAAAAAAAGGGTGTAAAAATATTATAGTAAATTCAAATTTATAAATCTTTATGAATCCAAATCAAAATACCCTAATTTATAGAAAGACGATTCCAAGAAAAAGATGGAAGATTGATGGTGCAAAATCCCAAGTTAAGAAAACAAATAGGAGAGATAATTTTCAATGTCTTCTTGATCTTGGGCTTTAATTATTCTTGTTGGTTTCATGAACGTTGAAATGAAAATGAATGTACCAATTTGGAATGAATCATTAACATTAATTGACTATTCATGATTTATAAATGGTGTTGCTTTCTACAATTTCAATGACAATCATGTTAGCGCAAGGGTCAAACTGTAATATTTTGGGGCCTTGTAATTTGTATGTTGAGACATAATTAACATATATGGATCGTTTAGGGTCACTTTGGGTAATTTTGATTGTACATGTCAAGCACAAACAAACAATACTGGCCTGGACCAAACGGCATAACAAGGTCGTCTTCCTCGTTAAGGATTCTAATTTTGGTACTTCAAGTTGCATTTGGTTTACACATAGAAGCTCAAAGTTAATATTCAAATAATTAATCTAACGAAATGGAACAAAAAAGAAAAAGGAGAATGATTGAGAGATTTCAAAAAAATCAATTAATTTAAATTAAATTTTAAATGTTAAATTTTAAAAATTTGCAATTCAATCTCTCAATTTTGTAACTCCATTGTGATGAATTTACAATTTATATTCTAAATTTTAATAGAAAAATATTTTTTTTATTTTTCAATCATGTAAAAATTTGAAAAATAAGTTATCAATTCATTATAACGCAGTTACAAAATTAAAAGATTGAGTTTTAAATTTTTAAAGTTTGACATTTGAGACCTAACTTAAATTAATTGATCATTTTAAAACTTTGTTATCATTCTCTCAAAAATATAGTGAACCTAGGGCTATGCTAGAGCTCTATTTAACTCATTTTGGATTGTTCCATTTGGGTTTTAAGCTAGGCTTTGGGGAAGAGTCAAATCTTGCCCTAAAATATGCAATTTTTCCTTTTTTTTTTCTTGAAAAAAAAATTCATTGTGAAAAAATATAAGAAACCACATTCAAGGATTTTTCAACGAATTTATTCATAAATAAAGATCAAAGCAAAATTATTTGTTGTTAAGATGATAATAGAAACTTTTTTTAATGGTGATTTATTATTGATCCTTCTTTACAAATAATTCTCTTTAAAGGTCTTTGACTGCAATTCTCCTAAAAAATTATTTTATAGTATTATCTTTCTTGGTACTAATGATATACTAATTTTATGATCTTCATAGACATTTTTTTATCATTTCAAAAATTTTTATTCTCTTTCAAAATTTTAAATTTATTTTTCGTTCAATATTATATAAAAAAAGTTGGTAATTAATATGATATAAAAAAATCAAGTTATGTGTGCATTTTTTAACTAATTTATATACCCCTTCCAAGTCCAATATTAATCTAGCTCTCTTTAACACTGGCCAAAAAAAAAATGAAGCTCTCTCTAAAAAAATAATACATATACTTGGTACTCTTTCTGTTTTTAGTTATAAAAAAATTACATTTTTTAATAAGTTTTTTGCAAACTTTTTAAATCACTCCTCATAATTTTATCATTCATAATCATAAAAAATAATTAATAAAAACTTAATTAATACAATTAATAAAAGGTATTATATTTTAATTATTTTATTTTTAAATATAATTAGTATGATTGATTAATTTTTTCTAGCTGTCTGATATAATTCTTTTTATATACAAATAGAAGTTGAGTGAGAGCATTCATTGAGAGAGAGAGAGAGAGAGAGAGAGAGTTTTTTAAAATAAGATGACGTTTCATTGAAAATAGTTGTCGTTTTAGAATCAATAATTCATCCTTGTGGAGGAAGGCAAGAGCATTGCTCTAGAACCTTTTTACTTTCTAAGAAAGAAGGGCGAAACTACTCCTCAGGCACATCATTATCACAAACTAATCCAAAAAAACACAAAATAATAATAAATAAATAACTGTTTCCATTCATTGTTGTCGTCATTCAACTCTAATTCATTCAGCCTTCAAATGTCATTACAATAATACCCTCTTACAATCAAACTTTTGACTACATCCCAAACCTAAATATCTTCAACTTAATCTAAAAAAAAAATAAGCTAAGCAAATTATCATCTAAACTTAACATTCAGCAACACTATAAATTTTAAATTTATTTATTATATAAATTATTTTTTTTAATTTTTAAAAACAATATAATTTAATCTCTATCATAAATAAAAGTTAATTTTAACTATTAGTTGACTAAAAAATAAATTATTTTTTAATTAATTAATAATTAAAGTTAATTTTTGCTAATGATATGGATAAAATTGCATTGTTTTTAAAAATTAAAAATTAATATTAAATGAAAAAAATGTTCTTTTAGGTTACCCAAATAGGTACTCATAGCTTAGCGGGCAATTTACATGATTATCCTTTTAATAATTGATAAAGATGAGAAAGGTGTGGATAAGCACCTTAAAAAGCAGGACAGCCACTCATGTTTGCAACACCAATCCAAACAATTGCAGAAACGCAGATTAAAGATGTCTTCAGTGTCTTAGATTTTAAAATTATTTTGGTAAGCTAGATTTTAAAATTATTTTGGTAAACTACTGGTTATTTTTGGAATAATGATAAATAAGAACCTTGTAAAAAATTAACACTAAGTAAAGACCTCTGAGTTGTAAATCCTCATATTTCAATTATAAATTCTTGAAATTTCTATTGTTGTAAAAGATCCTTGATATTTTTTAAGGGTCTTTATTTGTTATTGTCCCATATTTTTTGTCCTTTTAAACTTTATGCATTGAACTGTTGACATTCCCCACTTGGAAAAGAGAGATTCTCCTTGCCTCCTACAAAAACTAGGAAACGTGAGGTTGCTGTAACATATGATCCTTTTACTTAAATGTCATATTAAAAGAAAATGCGCAGATCCTAAATGTCTATTGCATTATTGCTCATTTTGTAAATTAAAAATAGAATTGATCTTAATAGTCTATTTAATTATCAAATTTTCACCTTGTCCATGAAATCTATTTAATTATTTAATATTGAACTCATAGATTTAGATTCGATAAGCAGTCGAAGCCCACCCATTCAATAAATATTTCAATTATAATTATTGGATTTCATTAGTATTTCAAAATTATCATAATATATTTCTTTTAAAAAATTCAAAAACAATTATAAATAATTCTCACATACATTATTTCCTCCAAAAAGTTTGAGATTTAATATTTTTTAATGATATATGACAAAATTTATGATAACTGTTTGATTAAATCAAACGATTGTTATTGTGTTAAGTGGTATGGTATGCTTATTATTATTGCATACCAAATAATGCGTTTAATCCACTGTAAAAATATAATACAATATGAAATACATAATCATTTTACCTTAT